ATATATAAATTTATTTTTTGCTTTGTCAGGTAGCCGGGAGACCACACAGACATTTCCTGGCAGCAGTGCAGGGACGGGGTGGGGGTGAATGTGGGAAACCTCTTTCGCAAAAACTCAAAAGATTAAGAAGACAGCTGGCTGGGATCAAATCCCAGCGCTCAGTCACGAAGCCACATCGCAGGAAACGTGGCTTAGCTCTCTGAATCTCGGTGTCCCCTCCCGGAGGAGGGTGATATCATCGCTACTGTAGTATGGTCGGGGCTCTTAAGGCAGCGGTTCTCAACCCGTGGGTCGCGACCCCTTTAGGGGGGGGTCCAAACGACCCTTTCACAGGGGTCGCCTAAGACCATTGGAAAACACATATATAATTAGATATTGTTTTTGTGATTAATCACTATGCTTTCATTATGTTCAATTTGTAACAATGAAATTGGGGGTCACCACCACGAGGAACTGCATTAAAGGGTGGCGGCATCAGGAAGGTTGAGAACCACTGTCTTAAGGTAATTGTGAACTACTGTACAAAACGGCTTTTCATGGACTAGGACAGTGATGGCGAACCTTTTGAGCTCGGCGTGTCAGCATTTTGAAAAACCCTAACTTAACTCTGGTGCCGTGTCACATATAGAAACTTTTTGATATTTGCAACCATAGTAAAACAAAGACTTATATTTTTGATATTTATTTTATATATTTAAATGCCATTTAACCAAGAAAAATCAGCCAAAAAAAAATGAGTTTGCGTGTCACCTCTGACACGTGTGTCACGGGCTCGCCATCACTGGACTAGGACTAATTCATAAAGGTATGTTATGTCATGATCATCATCAATAACTTGGAGAGACAGATGCCAAGATAGGTGGGGAACTCGTATTTGGCAAACCCTGCTTGCACAGGGGCACGGTGAGCAGGGCACGGCCACAGGCGTGACACCAGCCCTGGGCCTCCAGGCACATCCGAGAGGCAGCCTTGCTCGTCCTTGACCTCCACTTTCTCAGGAACACTCATCCCCATACACACTCTCCAGGCCTGCACAGGTACTTCAACACCAAACGACACAGCATGTTCCTGAAAACCAGAAACGATCTCCACTCCACTCGGTACCAACAGTCCTCCAACACCCGCCCCCGATCCTGAGAGCCGCTCACCTAGGCAACACGTGAACCTGGACAGCCCGCCCGCCTGAGGCCGCAGCTCTGAGCTGGAGCCAGGGTCCCCGCCCCTTCACCAGCTGGGCCCCCAAAACACAGCTGCTGACATGTTTCCCCACTCGCACTCAACCCCATTCTCACAGCCGGCAACCTGAGGCTCACGCACCTGCAGCC